CTTCATTTTATAGCTTCATTGTACATCAACATTTTTGAGTCAGCTTTTTTAGTCTGGATTAATACACATTTTCATTTTTTTATTTAACAAGTGTATATATATGTACGAGTATGTCATTTTTTCAATGTGGTTGCTTATTTCGTAATTGGATATTGAGAATAATTTTCACAAATATTGATAGTTCGAAGCAAGGCGACTGCATTTTAAATACTTTATAGAAAAAATACATATGAACTACGTCCTACGATATTTAATAATTATTCTTCGTACATGACTTCGTAATTACATATGTATGATGCTTACTTTATTTTTTCTCACCTGGTGTGGAAAAAATTGAGAAACTGAATGAGAACATGTAATATATAAAATAATGAAATTAATAAATGACAAGGACATACATATATTTCGTTTATTCATTAAGACATAATTTTAATAAATGAAATATAAAAGTGTATATGAATTTGTTCCAACCAGACTCACATTAGTGAAAAAATCACACGTTAAAAAAGAGTATTACTGTACATAGATATAAGTATAAACAAGTTTTTGATGCGGGTGTATATGTATAAAGTATATAGCGCGTTCATAAAAATTTTAAAATTTAAAGCACAGAGTGTTATTATTTTAAGCACTGATATAAATATAAGAGATTTTGCATAAATATATTTCAATTACAAAATAATATTTAAAAACCAAGAATACTAACAGATTCAAAATATCCACTTAATAGACATCTCGATTTAAATTTTAAAATATAAGTTTCGAAATTTATATCTGTATGAGTCATTTACTAAATGGTTCATTATTTTATTATTCTTTTTATATTTAAGGCCTTTTTTATAAACACAGCGATATATAGCAAGAACTGCGCTATATTTGTGTTTATAAACAAATGTTGATAATCAAGTTTGTTCATAAACATTGTTAATCTACCACAAAAATATTTAAATTATAGCAAGTTAAATCAGTTAGCGCAGTTAAATCAGCTGTACTCTTTTTTACTAGTTTTTGCAGTTTGGTTTTACATTTTTAATTTTTAATTGTTGAACTTACTTAAATATAACAAAATTTCTTCAGTGTTGTTTCAGTTTTCTTTTTTTGTTTTTCTCAATTTTTTTTTTTCCTGAAACAGATTTTTCACAATTTGGCCGAAATGAATAAATTTTTTTTTGCTGACGACATTTTTTGTTCATGAACACGATACCGAAAATTCAAAATAGCAATTACATTATTATATGTATCACATTATTGTTTTGCAGTATTGTGTTTATGGAAACCTTTTTATTTATAAAGCGGGATACATTAGCAGATGAGCTTGAAGAGTGAGTTTAAATTACCAATAACAATAAATTACATTCGTTAGAGCAATCGGGATACTTATATTATTAAAATATTTTTCAAAATCTCTACAGAATATTCAATAAAGAGACCCTGTTTAATACGTTCTTACATTATTTGTATAATGAATATGTTTATTTAATTTAGTTTGTTGTCAATAACATTTGCGTATATCTTTTATATTTTATTGCATTCATTGCATTGAAAAGTAAAAAAAAAAATTAAAATAATTTTATTCAGAAAAATCTTTTAAAAAAACTTTTATTTGATTTCTTTTTTTTCAATTCAATATTTTCTATCATTATAATGCTGTTTTTCCTATCTATTCTCATTATAAAAGATAAGTAATTCTTCAAATATATTATATGATTTGCAACTGACGGATTTCAATATTATAGTTAAGGTACATACAATTGTACTGTGAAAAAAAGAATAATGAATGCAAAAATTCTTAGGATCTTTCAGTTAAGGATAAATATACAATTACAGTGATGCGATCTTTTGAAATGAACTAAATAAATAGTTCCGAGATTGCAACAAAATTTTTTTTGTTCATTAATTTTAATTTTATTTAAAGTTTTCATGGAATTGAATTTTTATTACTCCGCGCTTGAAACAATTTTTTTATATGTATTACATAAAACATAAGTACGAGTATAACGTACATCATTTAAAAAATATTTGGTTAAATTGTTTAAGAATAAAAAGAATTTCAATTGTGCTACTTATAATGATTATGAATAAAGTTTATGAATCAAAAAATATGAATTATAAGAAGTTTTCAGTATTAGTGAAAAAAGGGGAAACAAGAAACTCCTCTAGCTAGCGAGTTAAAGGAAAAATTTTCGTTACAAAATTTACAATTATATATTTTTTTATTTGGTAGCTAGTATATATAAGAAAATTTAAATTTTTTTTATTCACAAATTGATATTTGATAAACATCACGTTTCTTAAAATTATGGTATTTTAGTAAATTATTTATTGTCTAATATTATCATAATTACATATTGTAAAATAATTTATGAAAATTAATTAATAGGGTCTGATAAAATCCAAAAGAGTTATAAAAGCCAATAAAAAACCTTCAAATAATAACAATAATAAACAACACACAACAAAAATAAAAAATTGAATTATACATATTTTTTAATAAAAATAATGTTTTTTTAAATGCCCTTTTTGGAATTTTGGTCGAGGGTTAAATATTTCACACGACGTTTTTGTGGAGCACATACGCATTAATGGAGAAAAGTTTTTTACATATAAATTATTCTTATAGAAGCGCAAAATTTTCTGTGATATATCGATGCACAATCTTTTGCACTGATCAAAGAAGGCCCATATTCATAGTTTATCCTTTAAGTAACTTATAATTGTAGCCCAAGTGGTAACACTCAGACTATTAACTTAGATTAAAATGTTCTCTTCAAAATTAAAATTATTTTAAGCACACTTTCAAAGATAATTAATTCTGTTATTAAAATAGTAAAATTATAAAGTTAGGTCAAACCAATGGTTTGTATTGTAGCACTTTTCCCTTCAACTAGTGGAAATTCTGTTTTTAAATACAGTCTATGTATACCTATCACACTATTAAAATTTTTTTCATTCATATACAAAACTATTTCTGGGATTGCATATATTTAGGATGACCGATTTATGCAGTATTTGAAATAGAGCAAAAATTAATATAAAGAGGGGTTAACATAATGCTCGGTTTTAAGGTTTAAATGTGTGAGTTAAGAAAAATAATTATATATTTTAATGTCATGGAATTTACCGTTAACTTTTTGCGTTTACAGACATTTGAAAAAGCTTGCGGTTTCGGAAATATAGGGTGTCAAAAATTCAAATTTTACAAAATTCAAGAGGCGATAACTTGAGAGGGGGTGGAGATGGAAAAAAATTTTCTTCTAACGAAATCAACTATTTGTTAATGTCTAAAATTCCCTAAAATTTCAAGCTTGTACAGGCTGGGGTCTAGAAGAAAAACGATATCAAAAATTTGAAAAAAAACGGATTTTATGTAACAGTAAATTTTAACAGCCATTTTGTTCTTTTAAAGTTCAAGTATAGTATACCACGCTAAGGAAAGCAAGCCGCTGCATTTTTGCCTTTGCAAAATTTCAAAAATGATTATGGTTTCTTTGCAACAAATAGTTAAAAAAGGCCATTTTTAGGGCTTTGGAGGGGTATACCTTCTAGAGGGGGGAAGATAGGTAAAAATTTTGTTCTACGGAAATAAGATTCTAGTAAAGATCTATGTACATACAAAATTTCAGCTTCCTATCTTCAAGGGTGTAGAAGTTTTGTAAACAGACACACGGACAGACGGACGGACGGACGGACGGACGGACGGACGATCGGACGGTCGGACGGACGGACGGACGGACGGACGGACGAACGGACAGAGTGAAACTAATAAGCACTTTTTTTCAAAAATATTTTGGAAAAGTGCTAAAAATGTGAAAATTAAAATTGAGTTGTGTTCTAAGTTAATGTTTTCCAACAAAACTGTAAATGGTTCATGAAACTAAGTTCAAATTTAACACAATTTTAATAATAATCAAAAAAAAATTATTATAATATGCACGTATATAAAAACAAAATAATAATAAACTAATAAAGGGTTCTAAAGGGAAAAAATATTTTAATGTTTTTATATAAATTGAATAGTGTTCAAATTTCCTATATAAGAAATGTCTTGGATATGTAATTGAAATGCCAAATATAAGTGATATGTAGGTATATGTATATATACATAAAATGTTAAAAATATTTGACTTCGACTTGAAACAAAAACATTTAAATTTTTAATTTTTAAACATTTAATTTTTTATATTTTGCTTAAAAAATTAAATAAAACTCTACTGCAATAAATCAACTTTATAGGTGGACGAATCAAAGTTTTAAAGCATTTAAATTTAGTTTTTCCATTTTCTCTTTTTAAACGTTAAAATTTAATAAAGTAAAAACTTGAAAATTTAAAAATCAATTGCAAAAAATTCAACAAGGCTTAATTGTTCGAAATTCTTAAGCTTCACTCTTAATAATTAGATTTTAGAATCTCGATGAAAATATTCCTGCGGCTTTTCATTTTGCATTTATTTTAAACTTATAGGAGCTTTAGAACTCCGTATAAAGTGTTTTAAAGTATTTAATATACATAAATGAAAATTTTTTAACATGTCATGAATGATATGAAAATAGAAATATGAAAATTCATTTTTCAGACTCTTCTATACTAATTGTTAAGTAGATCTCAACTAACAAAGTTTTCATATTTTAATTACATACTAAAACAATTTATGAAATACCGTCGGAGTTGCCGAACACACTATTAACTAAAAAGTATATAAAAATGCTTTTAAAAAATACAGTATTTATTGAAAAAGTAAAAACTATTTTAATAAATAGAGTGATGTTTAAAAAAAGTTATAGTTTTAATGAATTAAAGCATTTACAATCATATCGAACAAAATATTGTTATAGCATTAATTATTGCTTTTTCTCCCAACTTTTCTCGTCAAAGTTTCGAATATTTAGATAAAAACATAAAAATTTAAAAACTTTAATATTAATTTTTTTTTCTTTAAATTTAATACACAAGTAGAAGTAACATATAAAATGTATTTAATATTTCCATTTATCTTACTTACTTTTTTTATAATTCTGAAATTTTCTTGATGCGTCTGCCAAATTCTAAAATCAAAAACATCCTCAACTGGATAAATTAAAAGATTTTAAAAAAAGAAAACTTATGCTCGATAATTACTAAAATTTCAATAAAATTTTATAATTATTTAGTATTTCAAACCATAAGTACTTTATTATTAATTATTTTTAAAATGCTTACACTTTCAATTATAATTTTGATTTTGTGACTTGTCAGTTTTAATATTTTTAACTTTTAAAATTTTATTTCATTAGTGTTGAGCATTATTTAGTTAAAGAAAATACCTGTCCCAATTTTTATATTATAATTTTATAATTTTTATTATTTCTTTTAAATTAGATACTTTTTGTAATATTATTGGAATCCGACAAAAAATATTTAAAAACCGCATGGTAAAACAATTTATTTCAAATTTATATAAAGTCATTTCGAAAAGAAGAACCGTTCCCGATGCCGTAAACACATCGACTGAAAACAAAACAGAATCGGAATTAAAAAAGAAAATTAATCTGATACAAAACTTCACTTTTCTACTATACAAACTGATAATATGGTCTGCAAAAATAAAAAAACGAAAAAAAAAAACTAGAAAATAAATAAAAATTATAAAAAAAGAAAAATAAAACTGCGCATTCTAGTTTTCCTTCATAATATTAAGGAAAACTTAGGATGAAATATAGTAAAAGGATATAGCTACGTATAATTTTCATTCAGTTTTATAGTCGACACTGAATTGACTTTATCGAGTTGAGAGTTGAAATGTTTCTGTTATATTTTATTTCAATTAATCTTTTAATTGTGTACAATGCATAATTAAAATATTTATCAATGTTTGTATACTTATTGAGATGTATGCATGTTTGTAAATATGCTTTTATTATGTATACTCGTATATATTCAAGTGTATAAATTATAAACATTTTAGTATGCAAGTAGTTTTTGCAAATTTTAAAAAAGGGCTAATATGAACGATAATTGGGATTGACAGGAATTAATTTAGAATTTTACAATTAAAGTGATGCTAAGGATACAAAGTATTTTAGTATTTCACTCATATTTATCTGATATATTATTATATTCTTATAATATGGAAAGGTATATTGTTTAAAAAATATTTAGAAATAGTAGGAATAATTAAAATTTTTACATATTTTATATGCATTCTTAAATCTTTTGCATTTATATATGTAGTAAGTATTTACATTCATTATGTAATGTGTAGAACAGACTGTATAAAGTTAGAGATAAAAAATATTTTTTAAGTTCTTATAGAAATTTTAAAATTAAAATATTGAAATATGAATAATTTTAAGGAATAACAACAGAAAAAAAAATTAAATTTTATGAAATTATTAAATTATTTTATTTTACATATGAATTCGTTAAAATATTCTCGTTCCATTTGACGTCAAATTTAAATATACATGGAATATAAGCTACAGAAAATTATAACGGAAATTCATTACTCGAATCTAAATTCTCAATAATATACGTTATGTATGTAAAGTCTTTCGCTAAATATTAAATTCCAACCATTCAAAAAATAGTTTCAGTTTTTGTATTCGAAATTTTTTTAACTAGAAAACAAATGCAAAAATATTCCTTTCGGTTCTTCTATATAAAGTTAAAAATATTTTCCCAAAATTTTAATAGCATTTTTGTGGCAATGGAATTTTGTTAATTAGTTCCCCACATAGTATTTTTGTTATTTAATTATAACAAAACCTAAAATTACTTAAATTTTATTGTTGTTGAAATTTTTGTAAATTTTTATTTTGTTATTTGCTTTTTTTCTGGTTTGGTTTGCTACAAATTAAAAGACGCACCTGCGATACACATTTATTTTCTATTTGAATTACAGAATAAATATACATATGTACATATTATGTGATGCTATATATTAGAGTAGAGAAAGATATGTATTTAGACCTAGTTAGGTGTATATTAGAGTTTTCAATTTTCTGTTATTGTTTTCAGTTATTGGATGAACTTTTGTGACTCTATATAAAGCAAAATTTATATAATATTAAGAACTAAAAATTAGAGAGAAATTTCGAAAATGAATTAAGTATTCAAAACTATTACAATAATTACAAAGTGATTTGGTGGACGGTCTCTTATAGATAAAAATTGATTAGGCTGATAAATTACTATTAGAAAATAGAATTTATAATTTGTATTATATGTGGAAATTAGCCAAAACTCGATAGATCCCCATTTTAGGTCAACTTCAGGTAAATTTAAAAATTATGAGCACAAAGTACAAACATGACCAATCAACCATATAATGAATTTGTTCTTTGATTATAATATTAAATTATTTTCATTACTATTATGACACAGCGCACCTGCCTTAAAATCGAGCGTTCTGAAAAGCAAAGGGAATTAGTCTAAATGTTTATTGTTTCGCCAATTTTATTTTGCTGTAAACCACTGTAAAACTACATATTCTAATTTATTTTATTTATTACACATGGAGAATTCCGCTTTTTAATTTCTTCCAAATGTCAAGGAGACATTTTCTCATTTAATTAGAATTGCATAAGTATGCACAATGACAATGCTAGAATCTGTAATATCTATTTTGATTAGACATAAATTTTTTCAAATATTAAATTTAAAATAAAAATTTCCACGAAATTAATTATTTTGCAAAAAATACATATTAACTTGCGGTAAGTTAAATTGAATTAAAGATTATATCGAACGTTATTAAAAAATATATAAACCAATCGAAAAAATCTTCTCAGTATTTGCAGTTGAATTTTTAAAATTATCGGAAAATTTTTCAGACTTTCGATAACATTTTTCGTTAGAAATTATATGCACATACACAATAAATAATGTTCGCGAAAATAAATAAATTTTTACAATTAATTATTTTAATTATAGCAGTAATCGCAATTATTTACCAGAAAAAAAAAATAATTTTTTCAAACCATTACTCTAAATTGACATTTTCAACTTGGAAAACAGAAAAAGTAAAAAAAAGGTGAACATTAATATTAGCTGAAGGATTTCCAACAATACATTCAAACTTTAAAATACATTTAAACTGTAGTTTAATGTTAAAAATTTTTCATATATTTTTTTTGTTTTTATAGTTTTTTGGTTTGGATATTTTGAAAAAGGGAAACTGCAAATGTAAAAATGGCAATGGCATATTTAACTTTACAATAACAGTTAAAACCTCAAACAAAAACTATTCTTGTATATACGATTCAATTAGAAAATGGAGTTTTTTTCGTTTACTTTGTAATAAAACACAGTTTGAACAAGGAACGATCTATAAGTTTCAAAATGAAAAAGTTTTAAAGATGCTGAGTGCACAGATAGATCTTATGTACAGGTTTTCGGGCGATATTTGTAAAAATGTGGTATTAATTTTCTTGTATGTTATAATTTTTTATAATTATATGTATAAAATAGCGCCGATAAGTTTTGGAATAAATTAAGAAAAATATGTCCTTGTATCGGTTTTCCTATCTTTTCTTTGAGCCTTATTTTGTATTTCAAGTTTCTGATGACTTTTCAAGTTAGAATTCTAATTTCTTAATTAAATTTGTAAACTTTTCAAGTAGATTTTTTATTTTTCCAATCAGATTGCACAATTTAAAATTTATATTAGGACATAAGCTTAACTGTGGCGCATTGCTTTCATGCCAGAACAAAGAAGGTGGCCCTTTTTTTACTTATTTATTCTAATGCTTTAACAATGTTTCTTCTTTAAGATTTTTATCTTTATGCTTTACATGATGATACTAAATTTTGTTCATATTTAACATACCCAGAGACCTGGAGACATCCCTATCTTAACATTTTGATAAATTTCTTCTTAAGCATATTATCTATATTATACCAAATCTGTATTTTGTGCATAGAAATATATTTAACATATTTCTTTCATAATCTCTTTTTCAGAATTTGGGATCACACAGGATTGATTTCCAAAAATTTCTGTAACAAAAGTTTCTTTGGGACTTTTCCAACAATACTCCGTACACTAAAAAAACAAACGCATATCTAAAGTGTTTATAAACCAATTTCAAGGTCATATTTCCGCTTTGTAGATAATATATTTCATTATACTCGTAATAATTATGCTCAAAGTAGAAACGTCCGAAATTATTTCAACCATATGGATACAATAAAACTAAAAGGGAAATAATGTATAGCAATTTCGTAGATAATCCAATTTTGATATATATAATGTTGTAATAAAAGTATATAAATAGATCTTTTGTTAATAGCTCTTTTTTGTTTTCCAAAGTAAAATGTAGCTGAACAAAACATTTTTGATGGACATAAGTATATCGATATTCAAATAAAACCATTACCAAATGAGAAATAATTTATTTGTAATGTGCCATATATATTTCTCAATTCCTGGAAAAACATTGGCTACAAAATGTATACAAATTATTCAATTTTTTTTTATTCTAACTACATAGATAACTTATTCATAAACGGCTCAAAAGTACAGTTAATTTAAAAACATTATACTCCTAAAGCGATTTTAAATTATATTCAAAATAAAAATGAAGGGTTACATTTATTTCAAAAGTAACTATAAAGTGTAATTGTTGTGATTACACTATCCGATATTGTGTCTGTTCTGTTTATAAAAAATATCTAATTTAGATAAAATTTTTTCTCACTATCCGTGACTTCAATAATGCCTTATAAAAAGTTTAAGTACGGTATTAATACGGTTGTAGTACCGTCAATACCTTTTTCAATACCTTTACATTGTTAAAAAAAGCTGCCAAAGTTTTTGAAACATTTTGGAATACAATTTGTACAATACGAGTATTAATACATGTTTTGAAGTTTGTTTGAAAATTCCAATTTACAGTTCTGTGCAAATGTTAATTTTTAAAAAACGTTACCACGTCATTAAAAACCTGGCGCTTTTATGCTGCATTTTAGAAAAAAAACTCAATAAGTAGCACTCTATATGCTGGTTTATTTAATTGGTTATTTCTGGCAACGTTTATGACATGTATAAGAAAAGCGTGCTCGATTTTTTCGATACCCAATTTACGTTTATTTTACGTATCCACTACATATAGAACGCATTTTGGAAAAGTGTACAATGTCAAGAGCTTTTACTAAACTTTTTGGAATGTGATACTTTGTAAAGTTTACGTCGTAAGCGCATTATTGAAGTCACGGTTATATAACCACTTTTGCCGACTTTTAATCTTTGTATAACCGAAATTAAATTTAATAGCGTAATCCAGATACAAACATACAATATTTTTATTGTATGTATTTGTTGTAGAAAAATGTAGATAAATTTTTCGAAACTCTTTGAATAATTCTATGCAAAATTATTTGGTAATGAGCAAATTATTTCAGAAGATTAACGGCAAGTTTTCTTTTTTACAAACCAAAACTTTGAAGAATATATTTTAATATTATATCGTCGAATGAGTAAGTTGA